CACCTGTTGGATTATATACAGAATGTCCAAAGTCTGATTGATGCGGTATTTTTGAAATTCTATCTCAAAACCGGATGATCTGAGAAATTCGGAATAAAGCTACGTTTTTCACTCAAAAGTGATAGGAAAACCAACAAAATCACAGAAAATGTTGATAGACGACGAATAATAGTTACGACCCACGAAATGCATAAGCTATAACAAATTTCATAACGCATATCCGATCAATTGGGTTTTCTAGTGCCCCTAAATTTAGGTTTGCTGAAAAAAGAGAATTTCTTTACATTTTCATATAGGAATTTATAACGAGTGCTTTTTTATATAAAAACATAATTCCTTATCAAACACAAATGAACTGTAATTCCTGTAAACCAAGAAAACTTTATGTATTTCTTGTTGCATCCACAAATCCAGTCACTTTTTTAGATAACAGTCTGTCTTAAACGTACTTCAACGTACGTTTATAACGTTTCCCTCTACTTTCACCAACATTTTTTGTAATAATATCTGGTAATAGTGTACCAAAAGAAACACTTCAAATGGTTTATCAAGTTGCGTTTATTGAACGAAAAAATTGTTTACGTGTATTTAGACTTTAGAAAAATGTACGCAATTTTTGTAATCAGGAAAAAGATTACTGACTGTGCTTTTTCCTGTTAGCAGTATTATTTTTACATGAAATTAGAATATGACTGAAAATGTAAGTCATCTGTTCAGTGTTATTCTACAGCAGAAGGTGCAGAAGGTTCTCATGTCCTGGTCCATTAAAAAAGATCCTTTTAATTATCTCCCGTGCCCCTTTCAATTGGCATTGTTCTTATTTTTTTTGGTTTTTTAGGAGTTACCCGTTACAGATCTAAATTGAGCTTTTCGACAAGATTCTTTTTTTCATTTTTTTTTAAGTGTGATAATTTTAAATTAAAAAAGGACAAAGTATCTATGCACCTGCTTTTTACACAAACACTTATCATATAATTTTTCATTCTTTCGTGGTCGACAATGGAAACAGTTCAGGATTCGGCTTTATATCAAAGTTGCGCGTTTCATATCCAAAAACATGAAAATTGTAGTAAAATTCTTACACTTGGAAAATCGAAGATTATTTTCTGGTTTATGAGGCTCTCACTTTCGAAGTTTAGAGACAATATTCTCGCCTTCCTTAACAACTTTTTTAGTGGTGTTTGTTGTGGAAATACAGATTTATCTCACGTTTATCATTCTAAGTCAATGCGCTTTTTTGAAATCTATATCTTGTCTTTAATTGATTTTTTCTTTGGCACATTTGATTTGGTTTTTGGGCAATTTTGGTAAATTTTCCTTAGTTTTGGTAGTTTGTTTTCTTCACAACCCTCCCTCAAAGCAGGAATTTGGTAACAAATTATAAAGTATCTCTTGATTTTTGCACGTCCAGCATGGGTATGGTGGTAGCTGTTAGGAGTGCAAATTAAGAGAGTCATTTGCTATGTTATGCAACAGTAGTGAAATTTCATGAGTGAAAAGCAATAAAAAAAACCGCATTTCCACAAGAAACACCGCTCAAAAATGCTGTTAGTAAAGAGATTATACATATAATGAAAACTTCGACAGCAAATCCCGAAAAAACTAGAAAACTTTTAAATCCAAATAAAATTACCTTAAAGTTTAACTAAGTCGTCCGAAATTGGATCCGAATATCGTCAGATAAATATCCACTATTATAGATAGTGATTCAGAATCAAAATAACGCGCTTAAATATTTCCAACCAATCCCGGCGTTGCCAAACATATGCGCAATTTTCTACCTTTCGGAAGCCGGTGCCTTTATTTTCTGTCCGCATCAGATCAGATGCTGTCAAACTCGACGACATAACCCCAGATTGTTGGCATAAATCATAATAATACCAAGATGAAAAATAGGCCCACAAATGTTTAAAACAGTGGGAAAAACACGCTTACCTTTAGGGTTCCAATGGGGTCGGCTGGCACTTAGATGCAAAACTACCTCTAGTGTTTTGCGGACACCCAGTACATTGGTTAACCGCATTCAAAACTGCGGTTTGTCCGATGCAGTTTTTCACAAGGTACATCAGAAGCAAACGTAGCTTAAGTAAATTTATTATGTAAGATTCACTATCTACTTATGGGCGAAACGTTTCATTCAAACACAGCTACTGACTCTGAAATTGGAGGCAAATTCAGTGCCCTATTTGGTAGCAAATGTAGATGGTCTTTAGATGGTTAAAAGTTTGTACTAGATAACTAAAAAACGGCAAAAATTCAAGGGGACAGTTCAGTTGTAAAACTCAGACCTTAGGACTCTCAGAATTATCATAGAACTTCATTTAAATGCTCATATTTATTTACTGCTAGTCGAGTCCGAGCCGATCCTGATCCCTAGCAAATTCCTTAGGAATTTCGTCAAAACACCGATAGAATATGGATCGTCTGTCGGTGTTTTCACGAGCATCAAAGGAACTTTGCCGCGGCTCAGGCTCAGCTCGCATCATTAGAATGCATACCGTCCAAATTGCAGACATCGAAAGTTGCGCAAAATAGTATTTTTTAAGTGTGATCATTCTTTAACATCTAAATTGAAGTCATTTGTGCATTAATCGTGTTTTTTGCAGCCAGACGATAAACAAATTCAGCTGCTTAAATGAAGAACATTAATTTTCCATATATGATAAAACTAAGACAGAAAAGTAAATCGGCACAAACATTTGAGGGAAAGAAAACTAAAAACAATTCATCAGTTTATCCACATAACTTTTGAATTAACGATTTTAAGAGATTAAACTTGTATTCCCTAGACGATTGAGCGTGACCTGAAAGTCATCCTTCTAATATTTATATTTCGTTGGTTGAACACGAAGTTTAGCAAAAATATGAATGTTAGATGGATGCACTTACAGGGAAAAATCACATTTCGTCATGTTTTCAGAAGGTGAAAATATTATGCCAACTAGCGATTGCACTAGGAAATTTCTAATATTTCTTATAAACATACCAAACAAATCTTAAACTTATGGCGCAGACCGTTTAGAAAATAAAACCATAATAGAAAACAAATTTTACCATAAGAGAACTACTGAAGGAGAAACTATCCGGGAATAAATTTTGCATTTTTGTTTAATAAATTTTAGCAACTTAAGGTGATTAACAAGGAATATTCAGCAGTGTGGGCTCTATTGCGTCGATCTGGGCTCAAAGAACTGTCCCAATTGCGCCCATATTTGGGCGCCAGGCATATCAGCACGTCCTCGAGCCAATCACAAAAACAAGGCCCAGTTGATCCCGACCCAAATAAGCCAGGTAGATTATTCCTGATCAATCCAGGAAATTGCGCTATCAATCCAGGCTTTTTTCGATGGTTTTAGACAAGGATGGTGATGACAAAGATAAGCTGTCCGCCTTAGTGGCAAAAGCCTTGATCTGGATGCTGACCACCTATATGGTCATCGCTATGATTTCCTTGATTTTTCCAAGTACAAATCAGCCGGAGGCAAGTGAATCGCATTTAATCCATGCTTGTTTACCTCAATTCCAAAACCTTATATTTGGGTTAAAAAGATTATAAATTCATAATAAAAAGCGGGAGGAAATTATCTTAAAAACCGCTAAAATTGAGTAAAAATACCCAAGCAAAAGGTTTTGTACCCGACTGAACCAAATATCCAATTGCAGGTTGTGCGATACGTTTCCTGGAATGAGTTCCTCTATCAAATGCTGGCAAAAGGCGAAGTAGAACAAATCATTGTCAGGCCTGATATTGATATTGTGACCATCATTTTGAAAGAAGACGCGATTATCAAGGGGAAAAAAGTACAAATCCCGGCCAAAAAGCTCCATACTGTCCTGTAAAATCGAGTTTTTCAGACTGACCTACGCACATACCACATGAACATTGCGGACGTAGAAAAATTCGAGAATAAGCTCAGAGAAGCGGAGAGAAGACTGGGAATTAAGGATGGGGTACCCGTTACATATGAACGCGGTAGCGATTCAGCCGGCAAATTGCTCATATCGCTAATGTTTGTCGCGCTCCTAGTATGGTTTTTAGCTAAGAACAAAGGTATTAAGACGCCGCTTAATATGGACGTTTTTGTAAGGCAAACTTCAACAGCAAAAACATACAATAAACCTATTAAATGCCTGTTTCCGTTAGAACCAAATGACCAGGGCGAAATTCACGTTAGTCGATCCTTTAATGGGACAAGGAAAGGGTGTCCATTTTAGCGACGTTGCTGGCTTGAGGGAAGCTAAGCAGGAAGTCAAGGAATTTGTCGATTACCTAAAGCGGCCGGAACATTACAAGGCCTTGGGCGCCAAAGTACCCAAGGGCGCCTTATTGCTAGGTAGGAAAATCAGCAAAAAAACACCACAAAATGCAGGAAATGTTACTTTCAGGACCGCCTGGATGTGGCAAAACGCTTCTAGCCAAAGCCGTGGCCACCGAGGCAAATGTGCCATTTTTATCCATGAACGGGTCAGAATTTATTGAAATGATCGGCGGGTTGGGTGCCGCTAGAGTGAGGTAATTTCGCCTTTTTATCAGAACTCACTGTACCACAAACGAAAATTTCTCCACAGGGACTTATTTAAAGAGGCACGAAAGCGAGCACCCTGTATCATCTACATTGATGAAATTGACGCTGTGGGTAGGAAAAGAAGCGGCAGTTTGGGCGCGGGTGCAAGCGGAGAAAGTGAACAAACGCTCAACCAACTGCTAGTGGAAATGGATGGAATGGCTAGCAAAGAAAATGTGATCATGCTGGCGTCTACCAACAGGGCCGATATTCTTGATAAGGTAAGCGGCATTAAATGTTTGGCAAATTTATAAAAAAGTAGGTTTTATAGGCATTATTGCGACCTGGTAGGTTTGACCGTCACATTTTAATCGACTATCCAGACCTAATAGAACGCAAGGAAATTTTCGAGCAGCACCTTAAAGTGATTGCTCTGGAGAATCCGCCTGAGACCTACTCAAAAAGGTGAGTTTGTTAGTAAAAGCCTGCTGTTTAAGCGAAACATCCATTTAAAGCGTGCGCTCGAGAAAAAATCGCGAGCACAAAACGTTGGGATGAACTCATGGATGAGATTTCATTGTTGGTACGATTCGTATTGGAAAGGGCTGGAAATTATCGTAAGACATTTTTTCGAAATCCCTATTGCTTTTTCTGAGGGATTAGATTTCTGAGAAATGCAAGCTGATGGTAAATCAATATTTCCGCTCGGAATGGAAATTATGTTGGTGATACGCAAATCAAAAAAATTCCGCAATAAATTAAATGCACTTTTTATGGGTCATTAGCAATAGATCTACCGAACGGAACCTTAGGCCATTAAATGAGCGAACTTTTTGGGCCCCAAAATTGCAGATCCGACTAGGATTCAAGTCTCATGGCGTTTCGATACTATTGTTCACTAGTTAGATTTCATCAGTAATTAATAATATTTAAGGAGATAGACACTTAAAGGAGAGTGCATCACGGAAACGGTCGAAAATGTCTGGAGACTCTGAAGCGTCATTTTAGTACGGTGTTTCGGTTCTTATCTAAGCATCCTCAGTCGTCAAGGAAAATATCTAATCTGCAAAGAGATGGAAACACCATGTCTAATTTTCATACGCCCCCAAACTTTATAATAACGTATAACTCCTAAACAGTTCGAAATATCAAATCAGCCAACAGGACCTTCCCGATAGCCCTTATTTAAAAATAGCCTGGACCTTTTTGAATACAGCTCCAAACCCCTGTTTATGATAATGATTACATCAATTTTTACCTAATTTTTGTGGCGTATTTGGTTTCATCCGTAGATTAGCATTTTTAACTCCCGGATTCAGTGGCGCTGACATTGCAAACGTTTGCAACGAAGCTGCTTTGCACGCAGCTAGACAGAAGCAACATAAAGTAACCGGCAACGACTTGGAATACGCCGTGGAAAGACTGGTTGGTAAGAGATCAATTTCTAACTATTTTTTATGTAGAGTTGCATCTAGCCTTAATTATTATTTAGGTGGCACTGAAAAGCGTAGCCATTCTATGTCTCCACAGGAAAAAAGTATCGTGGCTTATCACGAATCGGGCCATGCACTTGTGGGCTGGATGCTCGAGCATACCGATGCCCTTCTAAAAGTCACTATAGTGCCCAGAACGAATTTAGCTTTGGGCTTCGCTCAATATATCCCCAAAGATCAGAAATTACACACCAAAGAAGAGGTAAGAAAACGATTGAACTCGTGCCAATTCATCTCGCAAATGCATGTTGTTGCAGCTGTTCGACCGAATGTGCATGGCCTTAGGCGGTAGGGTTGCGGAATCGATTGTATTCAATAGAATCACCACAGGGGCACAAAATGATCTAGACAAAGTAACCAAAATGGCATACGCAAATGTTAAAGAGTACGGCATGAATGAAACGGTCGGCCTAGTGAGTTTTCCTGAACAAGAAACGAAGGAATTGGGTAAATTTCTGGACGGATTGCTCCCAATAAAGGCATTATTTGTTGCTTGTTCTAGGCGCAAGACCATACAGCAAAAAATTTGCGAATATCATCGACCACGAAGCGCGAAAACTTGTAGGCGAAGCCTACAGATACACCGAAGGAGTATTGAAAAAAAACAGAGATAAGCTGGAAATGGTAAGAATCGATGGTCAGTTTGAATCGACGACTTGGAAGTATGGATTGTTTCAGCTCGCGCAAAATTTAATCAACAAGGAAACTCTGAATTATGACGACGTGGAGAAGCTGCTGGGACCTCCACCATATGGCAAGAAAAAGCTAATCGATCCGGCGGATTTCGAAGAGAATATCCGAAAAGATGCGGGCGATGCGGTTAAAGAAACAGCCGAAGCTTCAAAACCTGTTGCATCCTAGTGTAGCTTTTGTAGATATATGTGTTGCTAAATAACTAAAGGTTTTTTCCTATCCGAAGGCCAACACACATTGAATGTAACTCGAATTAATACGAAGCGGAGCTCAGTTAAGTCGAGCGCTATTTTGCGCCTAACGAGGAAGATACAGGATAGGAAAATCAACTAATTTGCGAGAAACGAACTTCAGAAGCGCTTCCATGTTTTGCTCAAATATGCCTCATAATAAGTTTAATTTTTCAATCAAACCGCGCTCCAATCGTCTGTTGCACTTCCCAAATCTTCTACTTTTAAGGCTTACAAAAGACCAAAAAAGCGCCCTTTTGGGAATTCTTTGCTGCCGACCAGATGGGTCACATTTCCGCCAAAGTTTCACCAATGGGTTGAGACAAAAGCAAGCTGCTGCTCTAGGATTTGAATCCCTGACAAAGAATCCAGGCTCGAATGTTTCCCATAATTGCAATACCATTAACCAAGTTACAAAATATTGAAAATGATTCTCCAAACTGTTTACTTTTCGTAACTTTTTCCATTTTCCTTATAGTTCCGGTTAGTTTTCTTCCGCGCTTCGCTTCGGTATGCGGCACTACAGAACGCGATGGCTTTAACATAGTAAAACAAACAAAACTAATTTCTGGGACTGACCGATTTTGTTTTACCTGTGTTAATGGGCATCCACTCGATGAAATCCACTACCTGAAATCGAAAGGCCAAAGTGCCGCCAGCCATTTCAAGAATGACTTCATTCAGCGCGGGTCCAAAATTATCTGATCGGTTCACGAAAGGGAGCCAATTACGTGTTTCCTGTTTTTGGACCCTTTTTCGGACGAACAAAAGCAAACAATATCGACGGGCGACAGCGTGAAGTCCTCTGATTTGCACAGGGCGCTAAGAAGTTAGCGCCAGCTTCAAGGAAGAAATAGCTTAAGCATGAGTAACGGCGCTTTTGAGGTCTTGATTGATTATTGACACTAATGCCCTTTGGAAGTCCATCTAAACCGTAAAAATGGATAATATTGAAGAGGAAGCTTATAGCGCTTAAACCGCACAGTTTTTTGGAAACTTTATTAATTGAACGAGGGGTTTTTACCAATTTGAGACTCGAAAAGACATTCATTGTAGTTCAGTCGCCAGAAAGTGTAAATAAGTCCGTGATGCAATTTGTATGTGTTTATTTCCGCATTTATCCGATGCTTTATGGAGTATACAACACTCCGGTCGAAGCACCTAATTGTTGTTCGCCATCCAAATGGGAAAACTTTTGTTCAAACTAACTCTTTTTCGAAGCCCTTTTATTTACGTCTTTCGGGCTTTTTCAAGAATCCAACATGTCTTAGGTTTGTCTTTGCAAAAAAATGCTTTAAAACTCTTGTTCATTTTCAGATTTTTGCTTGTAGCTTTTTAAAGGCTACGAATTTCTGATTAAACGAAAATTCGCAAAGGACCGGCCGCCTGTATACTGCTTCTACTTGGAATGAGAATGGACTAACTAGCAAAAAACAATTTGCAAAACGCTCTTTCAAGAACATCCTGTATAGTGGTCAGATATTTTCGCAAATTGCGGGACACTCTTTCGGTCGGCCCTATTAAATTATGCTTGTTTTCACTCGACTTTACGCACAAATTAATGCGATAAAATATGAAAGCCCATAGAACAAGGGGCTCATTTGACGGTAATCTTAAGAAGCTCCGCCCCTGGTAGATTACCTGCAATGGCCCTGTATCAGTAGGCATCTTAGGAATGCAATCACCTTGTGAGACCTGATGGCGACCACCAAAGACGCACTGGTATAAGTTTCAGGGTATTGTCCCACCAACTTCACTTGATGAACAAATATTTACAGACATCCAAGTGGTAAACATTTACAAGAAAGTTTCCGTTTCCTTGTTAATATCCACAACTTTCTTCTAGGTCGGGTAACTGGGATGTGATAAATGATGTCATTTGTCTCCACCCAGTCGAACCCTTAAACGTATTTTAATGGGCATTTAATGTCGACCTTAAATAATTCTCGTTATCATAGGAACTGAGGCTTTATTTGCAAGCTTTTCCTCCATTGTGTAGCGTAAAACAACACTTTTATTGCTGAATGAGGTGAAGTCGCAAAAAGCTGGAAGGCAATCTGGAGGAATCCGGATATAGAATTTATCGAAAATTTGGAGTCTATTTTTCAAACTCTGTTTTCATATTATCGATTACTTTCTCCATTAAAATTTGCTGCCTTAACTACATTTCACAGTTTTTGCCAGGCTAAGAGCGGGACTTTGTTTTAAAATACTGGAGCCAATGTTTTTAATGAAAAACTTTGCATATTCAGATATTTTCAAGCGTGAAGCTGAGAGCATAACATCACTTAAAAGTGTCTTCAGCATCCGAAATTATAATTTTTATCGTCTCGTCATTAGAATCAGCAAGTTTGAACACTGTGCACTTTTCAATGTGTGAATTTCTATGAAAAATTATATCGAAAAGGTGTTGGTGGATGACCCTATATTCATTAAGATTAGCTTCTATCTCCTTAAAAGCTCGGATAAAGCTGGAATGGCAAAATACAGTTCTTGGGATGGTTTATCGAAAAGACCCCAATGATTATTCAGATAGTTTCAACTGCAACCCAATTATCAACAAAAATATATAAAAACGCTTCTAGTTTTGATGGTAAAAGCTGGAATTTTTAGCAAACTGCAACTAGGCAAGGTTGAGGAGGAAGACGTCTTATAGAAACGGTTCTAAAGATAATTCCATGGCTGCTGATAGACAAACTCGATTATTATAATCCCTTCGTTTACTATAATCTACCTTGTAAACGATTTTAAAAGCCTTTTCAAAATCGTTTGCATTTGCAGCCACTGAGTTTTGCCTAAGCCGAAATCTTTGCCTAAGCCTGTATCAAATAGTGTAGTTTCAATTGGTATTTCCGTTCAAAAAGTGGCATACACGTGTCTAATAATAAATTGGGGAAGTCGAATGTATTAAATTGTGGAATCATCACAATCTAATAATTTTTCGCATTCCTACAAAAAAAAATTCGCTCAGGTTCTCCATATAAACAAGCTTTCAAAAAAATGTGTCTGGAAAATGTGGAACAAATTGCAGCTCAAGCAGAAGCCTACACAGACCCAAACTATTCATGGAAATGTTCTCATTGTTTCCTTCAATTTCCGAATCAGTCTTAACGAAATATCAATCGATAACACTTAAATTCTCAAAACTCAAAATCTTCTACTTCAAGATCAAAAAGTTCTATATAAAACTACATTTTTTCTCTTAGGCGCAAAGCAGTCTGATAAACGTAGTGAAAATGCACAGTATCTAGAGTGTAGGCCTGGGTAACTCGGTGAATTTTTAGGAGTTGGCGCAATGCTACGCAAATGGCTTGGTGCGCCAACCCAACGCACCGGCGCAGTAACTGAGTTTCGTTGCTGGGAAAATGTTTTTTACTTGTTCTTAGATTTATTTTAGGGGCCATTAATTAATAATATTTTTAAAATTTTATCCAAAAATTACAAAATTAATTTTTAATTTTGTCATTTTTGACAACAACATTTAAATAACATTTTATTGGAACACACGTCTCCTTAAAAGTTTTGCAAAAATTTTTGAAAAACTTTTTGCAATGATTATTTCTGGGTATTTTTCCAAAAATAGTTCCCCGAACTGAAAAAGCGAAAGTTTATAATCATCTAGTTGGAAAACTCTTGGAAACTGGGGTTTCTTCACTTTTAGTTCAATATTTCTAAACAACACCGTCTCTAAACAGAAAAACCTCGTTCTTCCTAACGTTTTACTGTAAAATACTGGTAAACTGAATCTTTTATGCGAAAAAATTAAGAGATCGATTTTACAAAAAAATTAATTGACTTTCTTTGGACTCAGTTCTGTTGTTGAGAAAATCTAGATGACTTTTTTTAGTTGTGTGAACAAACTAGTAAAACGTTACTAAAAAAAAATGTTAATGACTTTTTTTAGATGTGAAAATCCCGGTCTCGGGGGTCGTAAAGCTTTAATAAATAACTCATGAATCACTCATGAACCGTTGAGTTATAACTCGTTAACTCAGAGAGCACCAACTCACTAGCGCAAATCAACACAGTGTTACCCAGGCCCATTAGAGTGTTCTAATGCAACACAGAATAGCAAGCAAAGGTTTTAGTCAAGTTTGCTTGCTATTCAATGTTTTAATATCATGGTAATCTAACTTTAAATACTAATAGTTGCATCCTCAAATAAAAGTATAATCCAAACAAAATTTAGACATAGGCGTACCTCTGGCCAACGTCTGGGCGAAGTTATCGCGATAACTTCTGTAAATACGCACAATACGTGTTCATTTATATCGCGTTTTGAAGCTGAAAAGTTTTGAAATCAGCTAACAAATATTTCGTACCGTTACAGTGATAAGTTCCAACAAAAAACACAAAATTGTATCAGAGTTCGCGGACAGTTTATGTCAAACTAACCTTACTTTGCCTACCAACTGTCAAAAATAACGAGTGGTTTGGTTATATACCGCAAATATAGATTGCGTTACCTTTTTGGAGGTTAAAAAAATAGCTTTTTGCATACAAGCCCTCAGAAATTCTTCGTACGGCTCATGAGATACTTTCTGCGGTCCATGAATCATAAGTTTTTTAATTTTCTATGTGTAGATATTAATAAACAGAACAGATAGAGAATGTTTGATGAAAAAAATATAATTAGGAAAATTTAGCAAGCACAACTGGGAAAAGCCCTACCGACAAAGGCCTAATGATTATTCCCATATTTTACCCAGTTCTTCACGAAAAATTGCAGCTGACAGTCAGTGACAAAGTCAAACTGTCAGTGTCCGTGGCGAAAGTTATTACTTTCCACACGGGATGAAAAAATTTTGCAATGGGTAAAAGTGATGCTTACGCCATCGAAAACAGTGACGAAAGTACATACTTACAAATACAAGAAAAACATATTTTTGTCATAAAAAAGTCTATGCTAAGAGTATGTAACGTAAAAATCATCCAAAATTATCCAGCAAACCAACCCGAAATAATTACGAATCCCCCTGTTGGATCACGCAAACCTTTCGAAAACCATTCGAAGAACTTACCCATCACCTGAATCCTCCCTGAACCTGAACCGGATGGTAAGCGGGATTCTACCTTGTTATATTTACGATTTGGCACGGTTTTGCTTAAATTCTAGGCGAAATTTGGTGAATTTCGTCTGAGTTATCGCTCAAAGACGATAAAACAGACACTTTATCGTTGTGATTCCACGTACCTCTTCAAGCAGGTACCATCAGAAAAGCACCGCAGAGTCTGTTTAGGTATGCGTTAATGCGTATATCGATACTTCTTGTGTGAAGCAAAATTGCAGGAACGTAGTTGGCCCCATAATAGGAATGCAGAGGAATGCAGGAAAACCAAAGGTTTTTGTTGGTTGTTGTGGCTGGTTTGCTCTTCTGAGGCATCTTCTATCTGATAATAATAACTTAAAAAATGCCACTGGCTCCTTGAAAAATAAAATATGCCCCAAACCCAGTTTTAGTAGTCACTTACTCTACTACTTAATATCGCTTTTGGATTTCGTTTCGATTCGTTTTTTAATGTTAAAACGGCTCAACCATAGCAACTTTTCAGAGCCTATTCCCTCATTAAAAATATTAACTCATTGTTTGTGCATGCATATAGTAATCTCATTTACAGGAGAACAATTTCATAGAAAAACTGACTGGTTTGGCAATGCATGTATGTCGATTTTATCAGTTGCATTGCCACAAAAATGTGCAAAATAGACCAAATTAGTAGTTTTAAAAGAGGGTATTTTTTAATATTGAAGATAGACGAAACCTTCTAAAATAAATAAGAAATTAATGCTGAGTACAGTTTTCCTTTGCAAGATGGTAATAAGATTCACATTATTCGGATGCAAAAAATTCATTTCTGACACTGTTCTAGATAATTTAGATTAATTTGTAAATAAATTTTTATAGCTACTTATACCTCGGTATCCTTTATTAATGGAACACTCTGTACCTATAGTTTTTCATCATTAGTCGTTTTAGCATAACTGACGGCAAAAACAGTACATGCTTTTGAAACCGATATTTTACACATCTAAATAACTCAAAATCGCCAAACGGCAAGCAAATATATTAAAAACTGTAACAAAATCTATGTGTCTAATGGAAAATAAGAGTCAATAATCAATTCAACTATTTGCCGAATGTATTTAGAATCACATACCTTTCATATATCTCATAGGGATTAAACTAACATTAAAAGGACGTGCTCAGTACTTTGAAAATGCATCTGCCCAGTTTGTTTAGCAGCTTTACGTATAAAACACTTAGAAGAAAAGTTTAGAATTATGTAAAAAAAAATTCTCCATAAACATCGAAAAGATATTCGCTACGTTAGAAAAACGTTCTCGGACCGTTGAAAGTATGAAAATGGCTACTTTCTTTCAAAAACCGAAAAAATAATACTGAATAAAAATGTAAGTGATATTAAGGAAAACCACTCTGCAGATCTGTAAAATGTATTTAAATTTGCGTGCAGGCCTATAAATACTGCAAAATCTTTTGTAGCGCGAAAAGAACGTTCTCGGGCCGTTGAAAGTGGCATTCAAAGCATATTTATAATAATTCTAAATTTAGCAAAACACTGAATGAAAACACTACGCTAAATTTGTTAACGCTAATTGTTGTTGCCTTGATGTCCTGAAACCGAAGTAAGTACTGAATAAAATGTCCAGTAAATCAAAGGAAAAACACTCTTTAAATGAATAAAATGCGCTAAAATTTGCGTCAAAACACATAGACATTGTAAAGACTTTCGTAGTGTGAAAAGAACGTTCTAGAGCCGTTGAACATGAGTAAAAAGCATCTTTCTACGTCTATTGAGTGGCATTAACATAAAAACTGCATGCAAGCAAGAAACAGAGTTTGCCGGGAAAATTTTACAAACAAAAAAAAATATGTCATGAAACTGATGTGAGTGCTGAATAAAATTGGTAGTAAAGAAAAATAAACACTCTTTAAGTGAGTAAAATGCATTTAAATTTGCATCAAAACAGATATAAGTTGTAAACATTTTTTTTATGTGAAAAGAACGTTCTAGAACCTTTGAAAATCGGGAAAAATCATGTTTCCATGTTTATTGAGTAACATTAGCAAAAAACTACATGCAACTAAGAAGAGAGTTTGAGAGATAAATTTCAGAATCCTAATTGCTCGAGGGCCTAAAACCGAAGTAAGTGCTGAATAAAATAGCCAGTAAATAAAAGAAAAACACTTTTACGTCAGTAAAGTGCATTTAAATCTGCATAAAAACACAAAGATATACATTGTAAAGACTTTCGTAAGATGAAAGAAACTTTCTACAGCCGTTAAAATTTCGTAAAAGTCATGTTTTTTGGTTCGTTGACTAACTTCAGTAAAAAACTACATGCAAACAGAAGGGAGAGTTTTGAAAACGAAATTTCATGATCAAAAAGACGTCGTATCTTTCAAAAAATTGTCAGGAAAAAAAGAAGAAAACACTATTCGAATCAGTAAACTGCAGTCATATTTGGATCAAAGTTCATATACATTGTTAAAACATTCGCTACGTTAGAATAAGTAATTCAGTATCTTTCTCAAGACTAAATGGAAACAACAAAATTTCATGATTGCACTTGATCTACGTTCTTAAACCGAAATAAGTGCTGAATAAAATTGGCAATAAGCAAAAGGAAAAAAACTTCCTAAAGCAGTAAAATTTATTTAATTTTGCATTAAAACTCAGAGACATTTTCAAGCCGTGACGTGAAACGAACGTTCTAGAACCGTTGAAAGTCGGTAAAAAGAATAACCAAAACACAGACAATAATTGTAATAAGCAAATTTTGTTTCCGTTATTTGCTCATTGTTCCAGCCAAACTAAAATCTCTTTGGAAATCACTCAATTAAGGAGAAAATTGAATTTTTTGCTTTCAAACTTTTTTCAAACACTGAATAAAATTGGCAGTAAGCAAAAGGAAAAACACTTTGTAAAACAGAATCTAAATAATCTAAAATCTATTTAAATTTGCACTAAAACTCAAACATTTTAAAGCTTTTCGCAACTTGAAACGAACTCTCTAGAATCGTTGAAGGTGGTGAAAAGAATAATTTTAAGCTTCGTCAGCAGCTTTAGCACTGAAAAACCCAAATTTTACGTCTTCTAATTGCTCATTGCTCCATCCAATCGCTTTGGAAAACACTCAATAAACCAGAAATTTAATTTTTTAGGCATCATACTACAAAGTCACCCGTAACGGCAGATAAAAACTACCTCTATATCTTATTTTCATCTCCTAAATCGTTTAGTAGTTGAAACCCAAAAAAACTGAAATCGAAAATAAAAATGTTAATGACCCAGAATGAATATGGTAAATATTGAATACAAAAATCAAAGTAGAAAATCGTTAAAATGCACTGAAATTTGCATTTGGCGCCCATTGCTATTAGCGATATTGAAAGGACGTCCCCAGGAGCACCAAAGTTGGTAATATAACGTCCGGCGGTGAATAGTGGCTAGAAAACATCGTGAAACGAATGAAACGAGTCTTGTGCATATTTCTGGTGAATGGTCTTGATGGTACCATCAGTAAAAGCCGGACCTGTTCGTCAGATGAAGTAAAATACCGTACAGCAGACGACGAAGTCAACTCGACTGCGGCAATCCAACACGCTATGGGGAAACCTGAATTCGACAACACTCAGTCTAGCATTCTCTCTCAGCCTTGCGTTTTGCCACACTCAGTGGATTGAAAAAATTCTGCAGATTCGCGTGCTTATTTATATTGGCTCTCGTCAGCCTCCGTGTTAGTTTATTTGTTTTTCTTTATACTGTGAGAACAGAATTCAAACAGGAAGTGCATCGCATAGTGTATCAAGAAACATATTGCAAAAGGTGAGTGGAAAACTATAGCTGAGGGCTCATTAGCACCTGTGCATGCACTAGGAGTGAGAGGTATTATGTGCGCGTTTTAATGTTAAATACACGGAATATTGATTGGAATATTATTCTAATCACAAGAGCGTCAACACTGGTCTCAACCAGCAAGTTAATTGACTAATTGAATGGACTTCTAAGGCCCACACGATGCTCCTTATTTAATTTATTGTCAGGTTTTTTAATTTGCTTATACAGGAATGGAGCGGAAAGCCCATTCGGATGCGGGAAACTTCAAAAACACGTTCTTCTAATGTCTTCTCATCACTTTACCACTTAATAGGTATCTGTCTGTCTACTATTAAAAACCGTTTTTGTGAAGATCTACCAACAGTTCTATTTAACTTTTCTAGATACGTGCGGGGGTTGAAAGTATTTAATTTTCGTCTAATTATATGTTTGCACGAACCCTCTTCACATGAAGATCTTTAATTCTTCCTGAAACCTGCCAAGTTTCCTGATAGTATCTCCATTTATTTCCTCGCAGCTTTCTGATGACTACAATTTCAGTTCTTCATTTACAGAAATTAGATTTTTCGTTAAAACCTTTTCCTTATGAGATTCTTGTGAAACTCTTTCTTCAGAAATGTGTAGGTGCTAACATTTGCTCAATTCCTTTATATAATAAGTCAGCAGTTTTTCCATGAATGTAATACGTCTTCTGTTTCCTTTTAACAGAAAGTTGCTTTTTGGCACTAAACCTCTTCACTTGAAGACTGTTTAATTCTTCCAGAAATGTTCCAAGATTCGTCATAAATCGTCAGGAAAATATATTCTTTCCTTGTTCATTTATTTCTTCGCAGCTTTCTGACGACTAAAATTTTATTTTCAATTCATCATTTACAGAAATTAGATTTTGCGTTAGAACTTTTTCCTTATGAAGATCGATCGAGAGTCTTGTCAAATTCTTTCTTCAGAAATGTGTAGGTGCTAACATTTGCTCATTTTCTTTAGATCGATTACTTTTTTCATCCAGTTTGAGGATAAGGCAGCAGTTTCTCCATGAATTTAATTAGTCTTCTGTTCCCGTTTAAAAAAAAGTTGYTTTTTTGCGCCAAACCTCTTCACTTGGAGACTGTTTAATTCTTCCAGAAATGTGCCAAGTTTCCTCATAAATCGTCATGAAAATATATTCTTTCCTTCTTGATTTATCTCTTCGCAGCTTTCTGATGACTACAATTTCATTTTCAGTTCTTCATTTAGATAAATTAGATCCTGAGGTAGAACCTTTTTCCTATGAAGATCGCTCGAGTTTTTTGTTAAACCTTTTCTTAAAAAGGTGGCCTCTAAAATGGTTCCAATTGGCCCTTTTTGTGATAAATTTTATTGAATTAAATCTCTTCTTTTCTCCTTTAACAAATGTGATCCTCCTATTTCCTTTTAGTGTCTTAAAGTTTGCTTGTCAGCTCCTTAGCTTTTTCTTGATTTTCTCTTCAACTTGATGGACAATTTATCTTTTTTCAAAGAAATTCATTTCTTCGGAGTTAAGTAAAAGTTTCCGGAAACTGGAGAGGTTCGTCAAAGGACATTTCCAGATTAGTTAGTGTCTGGCCACTTCTGTCTTCACTCCATCGTTTTCAAAGCTTTCAATCTTCCTTTCAGCCTCTCTTCGGAATTCTTTGAAGTGCTTTCCTCGTCGCAATCTTTACTTTTGTTCCAGCTTCTGACTTTCGCATATGACCGATTAGACCCCACATTCCCACGCTTAAAAACTTTATTAGCCTCACTTAGTGCACTGAAAATTCCAATCGATTCCTGAAATAAGAAACGTTATGTGTTTGCACACATCGAACACTTGTAAAAATAGCAGCGTGAAAAAATGCGCACTTCAGTTGAACTTTCTTACCGCGGGAATGTTATGCGAGATTAAAAAGCAAATAAACAATTCAAATCGGCCATGTAGAACTATTTTTAATCCACTTTCGCATAATCCTGAAAACCGAAAACACTGAGCAGCTATACCGATTGATTGCTTATTAGTTTGCAGTGCCAAAATGAAGCTCAAAGGCATCCTTCTACTGATTTTTGTCAGCTACATTCCAACCACAGTGATCGGTTGCAACGAAGCTGTTTGCGGCAGTGTGGTTAGCAAGTGTCTTCTAACCAAATCCTGCAACTGCGACTTCAATTTCGAAAATTGTAGCTGCTGCAAGGATTGTCTCAACTGTTTGGGCTACCTCTATAATGACTGCTGCTCGTGTGTAGGTTGGTACCTTTTGCATTTTCATATATTTACAGATTCTAAGTCGATTTGTGGCTTCTACACGCTGAAGCTCAGAGAAAACGTGTTTTGTCTTCATGAATATTCAGATGCGCGATTTATGTTCGGAAAATCTAAATATTTGATGTTCAACTACGTTGAGCGTTCAACTTCACTTTCTTCTGCTAAAACTACTTGAGCAATGAAGAAAATTTAAAGGATTTTAGAAGATTTAAACCTCTCGGTAACTTTTTAGATATGTGCCCGAAGCCCAACTCAACCACAAGTCCGCTGAGCAAAAAATCGCACGTGGAAGACTTCCAGGAGACCATTCCCGGCCTGTTTAGCGCCCTGACGGAGGCTCCCGACACCCTAAACCGATGGGCCAGCAAGACTTTCCCTATTGACATCGATCTTAGCCAATATTCGAACAAAAAGGAAATCAAACTGCTAACGCGTAAGAACAACAGTGGTTGATTTTCTTCAACGTTCTTATGAAACCTGGTACTTTCAGAGCAAAACAATGCTGAACAACAAGTGCTTCCAGAAAAACCGAACCCAACAGTTTTCACTGTGAATTGCACAGTGGCATTCTGGTCGCAATGCATGAGCTGGACAAAGTGCAAAAGTAGCTGCCAGTCTATGGGTGCGTCCAGCTATCGCTGGTTTCACGACGGATGCTGTGAATGCGTCGGCGATAGATGCATAAACTACGGAATTAACGAAAGCAGGTAAGATCCTCATTTTACCATTGACCAAAGAACTCTTCATTCATCTGAATTTTCAGGTGTTCAGCCTGCAGGATTCCTGATGACCTGACCCAAGATGGAAACATCTTGGATGAAGACGAAATGGACTTTGGAGAGGATGAAGATGACGACTTTAGTGTTTAGCTTCGCATTACTCAAAGTGCCTCTACTGTCTATTGACGATTAATAGACGGTTTGAGTGGCTGAAAGTTTGTCTGGTAACTATCAGTCGTATTTTACTTTTAATGCGGCATTGATTGAAATTAATTTTCAAACCTGCAAGCCATATGTTATTTATTGTACTATTACGCAAAGCGACAGTTTTTAACCCCCTTAAATACGGTATTTCTAAGGAACATTTTCGCTGGTCTTATTATTCGTTGCTTGTCTATAAGTGTTGAGATTTACATCGACTTGAAATGGAAACATTTATTTTTAAGGTATTTGAAGCTTCGCAGTCGTCTGGTGTAAATATAGTGTATATTTTGTACAGAAGTGAGCTAAATTAAATTTGGAACGGGATTTGATTATAGTGGTTTTATTAGTTTATGCTTCAAAAATTGGAAGAACGTGTTCCTGATAGAAAGATGGACAAAATCACAATGCTGAATTTAAAAAAAGTTATTTCTAGTTGTCTTGTATCCAGTCATGGTTTTTTTTAAATAAAATTGTATTTTAGAACATTTTATTATTTAGTTTTCTCTCTGCGAATAAACTGCTGGAATAATAGAATGGGGCCCAAGTTATTTAATTTAAGCAACGAAAAGTTCAATGTTAGAGCAAAATTTAGCCAAACTTGAGCTAAAGTTTGACTTATGCTATTTTGGTCATTTGGGCTTTTTAACTTTTTTTTTAAGTTCTACTCTTTCTGTTTATCGGTTGGTTTCCAATTGATGCAAATTTCTTGGGTAGGATTTATGTACAATAAAATCATGCACTCAAATAAATACTTTTGCGCTAACATTAAAATATAATTTTCCTATGCATTAAACGAACCAAAAATTAGCTGTGTTATTTAAGAAACGTTTAACTGACTTAACTTCGAACGGAATTTTGTTTGAAATTGCAACCATTAAGGGTTTTTTATTTTTAACAAGAAGAATTACAGAATCTTGGTTGATATTTTTATTTTTGCTCAGCACGAATTTACTTGTTCATTTAATGTAAAACAAGTTCTTCATTTTATTGGGATGAACCGAGCAAATGAGGATTTAAGGGAGCATCCTGAGATAAAATATGTAAAATATTGTCAATATCCAGTAAGAATACAACGTTGATAATAATAAATAATCCAATAAGAATAAATGCTGCTTTTTACGATCGTTTTCAATGATTAATTAACGAAAAACCTAACGTTTTGCCATCATCAGGTAGTCCAGAATAAAATTGCTCTACGGATGCCGAAACGTCGGTAATGTAAAAAACAGGATTGATTTTACGGCGATCGGATTTTCGTTATTAAATCATCTATTGGGAAAACACGACATTTTTTGCGATATAATATTTGAAGATAGGCATGAGGCATTATCTTAGCGATAACACTCGTATACTTTTCGAGATATCTAACTTTAAATGCATCAAGCAACTAAAATTGTGTGCAAAAAACACAAAAATAATCTAAAAATGTAGGCAGTTAGAAAAATTGCAATAAATAATATTTTATCATCGCTTAGATCTCTCAGAACATATTGTCTCTGATAATGCAAATGAATGAATGCAAATGAATTTATGGCTAATAAAACCTCTGTATGTTGCTACAATTTTATTCCCTTTACATCGTTGGCTAAACATAGACCATCTACGAGTACAAATCGTTTAAAGTTAAAAAGACCCTTCGGCCAGCGAAGAGTGGTTAAAGCGTTAAAAAGTCTTATAAATATTAATAATATTTTGCGATGACTAGACTAGTGACGAAGCCAAATCCAGGCGACTAATATGAGTAGTAGACGGTTCCCAATTAATAGTATCAGATAATTTAACAATGGCAGTTTTATGTTACTCTTAAGTCTTAAATTGGGCAGTGCTGTCGCATTAATTGACTGGTTAATGGGCGCATTCGCCAAATAAACTGGCAAAATCGGTAAAAGAAACTGGAATTGCTTCCAAATTAGTTTGTATTCGTTACTTATACATTTGGATCAATTTTGGAACAAACAAGGTGGCCGTTTTAAAGGGGCAATTCCAGAGTTTCTGTAGCTAAAAGCCAAACAACCATTACGAAACATCAAAAGGTGTATTTGTATATAATAGATAACGGACTTGTATAACTTTTTTAGTCCATTTTCAACCCTTTCCCTTAGCAAAATGTGCTCAAGACTTTTTTAATCGATATCGGTTTAAGATACGAAAAAAATCAAATCAGTCAAAAAGCTCCAAAAGAAAACAGAAAACTTTTCCAGTGACAAACCAAATATCGTAAAAGTGCCAAAGATCTACTAAACATTTATTTATGTTTGACTAAACTTTACATTATTATATTGAACGCACCCCAGTATCAATTATAAAATATGTACAGAATGGCGCACAAAAGCTCCCGCTCTATGGTAGCTCTAGAAATAAACGCTCAAACACCACAACTAAGACTAGATTTTGAGTGCTGAAATGATACTGCCGAACACCGTTGTTTTTAAATGAAAATGTGGAAGTTTTACGTAATTTTTCGTGCGTTGGAAGGACGAGTGAAAAATATTCAAGACATATTACGACATTCAAACCTGTTCCATGTAGGTTTTCTGCTTAATTCTTGAGCTATTTATCGGAATTTAGCGAAAAACAGCAGATGGTAGGTATTGCTACAGATACTGAAAAATTTTATTGGGAATTATATTTGGTTGCTTTAGAAGCAAGCAGGTCTAGGACAGGCTTCGGGCCGATTAGCCCTCATCAGTTAGGGGGTTAATAGGTCTGATGACCGGTCCTGCAATTGAGTGCTTTTGACACTGCTAAAAACCTGTTCCTTTTCTCAAACAGTTACTAGTTTCAAACTTAGCTTGAACATACACAATAAGTTTCTAACATCTCAGCATATTCATGAAACATTTATCATTTAACGCATCAAACCGCTGCTAAAATGAACAATGAACTAAAGTGTACATTTCCATTAAGAAATGAAAATAGAGGTGTTTGAGGGTTTTTTCTAAATTTACCAAGTCATGGATAGTCATTGCAAGAACATACAATGCAAGATATTTTGCATTGAAAAAAAAACAAATTTTTAACGAATTTTAACTATAAACGAATGTTATGTGAGTAGTCGAGAGTTTCAAGTAACGAATACATACTTATTTTTTATCCTACTTTAGTTCGTATAGCATTCTGGGACACAAATAAAACGTCAAAAACACATTAAATTCATTTGGTGTTGCCTGAAAATGAGCAAACCCTGAACCTGAGCGATTTCACACCCAAATTACTAATGGAAGAATCACTTTTCAATAGTCAGCTGACTAAAATTCCCAAAACCTTTGGGACACAATCAAATAAAAAGAGATTCACACGATAATTCATTCGAGAAAACACCACAAACAAAACAAAAAACTGAACAAACAAATACACAGCCAAATTTGCAGTGACTGGAAGTGGATAAATTCCGACTGTTTAGAGCAATTTGGATTCAGCGTTATGTAGCTCGTTTGTTTTTTGTTAGTCAGAGTTTTAAAAAATTTAAGCATTTCAGAAAATTTATTTTGTTATACAAAAATAAATTTTGTGCAGGGAAGCACATGAAAAATGCAAAATTTCTCAAAGTTCGGCAAGCTTCTAGTTGACCAAAAAAGTTTTTTCGGTCCCAACACCAAAAGTTTAGAGATAAACCAAATAGCCCGAAACGGTTTGTGAGTCAAAAACATCAACTTTTTGGTCTTGTAGGTATTTTTTTCGCAACTCGACTGATAGGCCCTAGGTTTTGAAAATCGGTTCAAAAAAAAATGTTTCACTTCAAGACCAAAAAGTCCAGTTTTCTGAGACCACCGAGAAAAAGGAATTGTACTAAATAACGAGTCAAACAGAAATCAAATCGCTCGCATCAAACAGAATTTCTCCAGTTTCAAAATTAGTTGAAAGTTTTCCTTGCAACGTCTATGTTGTTGAGCAGTTTAGTTGAATCTAATCTAAGACTTATCTAGTTGTTACAGAAACTTAAACGGGGAGACTGTTTGTTGAAGACTATTTGAATTGATTACTCAAGAAAATTGCTTGTTTTTGGCTGAAGTTTGTGGCCAGAAAGCATGTTTACGCTTAGAATTTCTGAACCTTCTTTTCTTAGCAATCTGGATTTCAATATTCACATTCAAACTTACTCTAACACATAAACGTGATTACATTAGTCGCATTGGTAATTTTTGCGCATTACCATCATTTTCATCAAGCTCACCATCAACTTATTAGAACTTCACATAAGAACCAATGGCAATAATATCACACACACCAATATCTGACGGAAACTCAAGGAAAATGAAAAAGCATCGACTTCTCTTGGAAACGTACTGGTGGCGATGATATTGGGCACACCAGATCTATAAAGTACACACACAACATACAACTCTGCACAGATATGTACGAGATGAAGCTCCTACGATGCAGAATATGTTCATGAAAAGCTCGAATTTCCCCTTGAAACCTACTTAAAGACATTATTAGAATGTGCTTTATGAAGCGTTATTACTTTCGCTCAAGCATACAATTACACACTTAGTCAGGTCCTCATAAAACCATCGCAATCAGGTTTGAGTAGACGTATAACATTAAACTGGGTAGTAATATGGAGTAAATAGCTATTGAATGGATGATAAATGCTTAATCAGTCTTACCGCAGTCTATGAAGGTTTGGGAAAGGCAGCTGTGCCGCTTCGTTCCGTTGGCGGATCGTCCGTATCGCTATCGTCTTGTGGTTCCTGGCTTTCAGGCAGTCTGATAAAAGGCAGGTGTTCACTTCCACTCCACATTGAATAGAAGTTGGTATGAAGGCGAATCGCATCCTGCAAACAAACAAATTTTAGCTGAGCTCCAGAAGAACAATTCAGAAACTTACAGGCCCACTTCCTTCACTGGTGGAGCCTCTTTCAGAGCCGCTGGCCGTTGATCTGCTATGAATGGAAAGACAAGACGAGGAATCGGTGGAAGAGCTGCTTTTGCGGGAAGTCAGTGGCAATCCGGTAGGGAAAATATCAAAGTGTTCGGTTACGGACATACCGCTTGCATGTGGCACGTCCACTGATTGCCAGTTGCCTCTGAAAGGAACCAAACCGCATAAAGGAGAAGGATTTATGTGCTGCCTTCGCATCCAAAAGCACTAGTTTGATTCATTAAGGCACTGGGGACGGACACTTTAAGGGTTTATTATGTGATGACCTGAGAAAGGACAAAAAATTATTTGTGATCATGACAAACACATAACGGGAAATTAGAGTGGAGGAGTATTTTTCAGCAATATTGGCGAAAAAATGCGAATTCGCTGGCCATTCTAGTATCCAGATGCTCTGAAAATCAAAGTTTCAAACGCAAAAAACTGAGTCAATTAATTATCTACTGGTAAACCCATCTTATAGCACACATACTTCCAGTTCAGTTCGTAGAAACCTTAAATCAACCCACCTTCTCATATAAAATTAGCGTTTAATTACATTTTATTGCTGATCGGCGCGCTAAAGAAACTCATTTAAAAACACTATTTTGAACCATCATCACAAGCGAGCAACGGTGTGGATCAACACTCACCTTTGGGACGGAAACATCCGCCTATGCATCCGATCCTCATGCGTTTCACCCCAAATCGGTACATAGGAGTGTCCTGGAATGGAGGCAGTCGGTATGGAGGAGCGACTGGGGCGGCAGGACAGCAGCTGAATGGCTTCGGACAGGCCCTCAATGCTTGGAAGAACTCCACCGACTGGATGCGGCTGGATATGAGATGTGGAGGGCTGAGAGGCGACTGATTCTGTTGTCAGACAATTGTTACCCGTTGGGGCAAACGAATCTGGCCAACAACCAACCTGGAGTAGTGCTTCTACTCCGTTCTTGAGATGTGCCGGGTCCCCCAGCAGGAACCGACAATTTTCCTTGGCTTCCTGGGCGGGGCGGGCCACTTGAGCCTTCGCTGCCCCAAGCAGTGTCCCAAGGCATTGACCAGCGGCGGGCCGTACCTTCGGCTTTACTCCCTAAACACGGCCTATTAGAACATTATTCTGGAACGTGTAGTTGGCGCTTGCCTTCAGAGCTGCTAACATCAGTAGCTGCAGCTTCGGACCATCTACGCTGACCACCTAGAGGAAAGAGTGGGAAATGTAGAGGAGATCTTTGACCTCCCCTGCCAGGGAACGGAAGCTTCATTGTGTGCAGTGGTCCAGGTGTGGGGAACGGTCCTATTTAAGCCAGAAAAACACAAGTTCCTACCCGTGATTTTCATTGTACTTTTCGCGAACGAACCTCTTAAGGTCTCCAAAGGACCAGGGCCTCGACTAAACTCCGAATGAATCGGACTCGGCCCTCGAATGGGCTCCGGGTAAGGGGAGGATCCTCTGGTATCTGCCATAGGGCTGTGCTGCCTTGGAAAGTCCTCCATTCTGGGACTGGACATTTGCGACCTTAATTTGGGCAGTTTTAGTTTCAGCCGGAAAATATGCATTTCCAGCGCCAAACCTTGTTTCATGCTTGCTAAAGCACTGCTGCACCGTGGCCATACTGCAGTCTGAGTTGTGCACCCCGCCTGGAGTGGTTTGGCAAGAGGGACACATTGCCATTGCCCCGAAATTTTCACAACTCGCGATGGAGAATTGATATTGAAGATTGATGAATGTTAACAGGTTTTCGGTGATTATGTGCTGGTTGTGTTCTAGTTGCCTTTGAGCATCCGACTCTATTTACAAAATGCCGCCAGTCAATCTTGTTTAGAAAGTGGGCAAGTATGGAATAAAAAACAATGATCTGTCCGATTAATATACAATTCCGAGTTTATGCATATCCAAATAGACAAACGCGATGGACCTGAATGTTTATTGAAACTTTAGAGACAACTCAAATCAAAACTCTCGGCTCAAGCTTTTCAAATTAGGTAGCTTGTCCACCCTATTACTTTACCTGCAAAAGTATCCCCAATGCTCATATCCTGCATGGCAGCCGAAATGTGATTTTTAACCGAACTACTTGCAATCGCTGTGGCTCTAGTGAGGTCCTCCCAACAAGTGATGCATTGACTGGCTATAGGAACGTTTTGCAATTGAGACAAGTTGTATAAAGACTGTGCCAATCGCATTCCAGCCGCACACATTGTGTTGAGCATCTGAAATTGAATTCAATTAGCTATTTTTGCCTTAAAATCGACTAAAGTGCATACCTGCAAATACAACCTCCAGCTATTCAGGCACTCCGCAGCTGCCACTTTTAGGGTATTGGGGCTCAGTTGTTGGGCTTCGGCAGGATCCTTGGGTTCAGCGTGCTCGGTTTCGGAGGGAGCTGCCGCCCCATAGAGGGGTTGGTGAGGATCTCTGGAACGGTTTTGATTATCCCGATTCATACGCAGCTTGCATACGTACCTTTCCATGTTTTCAAGTGAGAGTTTCAGCAAATTACTGCGTCAAGTAGCAAGCTATTGGGGACACATCTGTTCGTATAACTACAAAAAGACATTGTCGTAATTTTCTACAAATTCCGTTTTTTGTAAACAGCGGCGACATAACCTATACTAACAGCTGACAATGTCACTCCCTTAGTTGACTTAAAATCCCGAAGTTCCCCGGGGATTTTCGGATTTTAGCATCAATTAATTCAAACACCTGTGTTCCGTCTTTGTTTTTCGCCCAATTTAGACAAGGAAAACCCGAAATTTCTTCAATACCTAGCAACAGTTCAACAGTTGGCTGGAAGAGGGCAGCAGTCGACAAGAGCTCCGCCATTTTGTACTATGCTATGCCTTTTTGAGTATTATGAAAGTCAAAAGTTCGTTATTTGTCGGAAAATTTGCTAAAAATCGTATTTAAGTGGTGTAACCGGGCGCTAAACGATGGCTAAACTACTCCAAGAGGGTGCAGCTGCTTTGAGTTTACCTCATAAGCTGTTAAGAATAGAAACTTTCCCAACTACCGTGTAAAGGCAATGAGTAAGTACCTATACGGTAAGATACCTATAAGTAGGTAGATTTGCTCTACACGAGCTAATATTCTGGAATTATTGTTATTATATAACAATTATTGAAAAAATTGCGATTTTAAATAGTGAGAAACAGTTTGGGCACGATTTTACTCTGCAATTTGAACACATTTCTAAGCATGGTAACTCACTTGACCCAGGCAAGTACAGACAGGAAAGTTTTATTTTTACTCTTCTGTGAGTTTGTATTCCCTGTTAGAGTTGTTCTACTTGCTCCTTATGTCTCACTTAAATACTTATTAGGGCATCTTTGTTCGAAAAGGTTTTCTGTAGTGTTGTCCCTTTTATAATCATTAATATTTTTTATTTTCCTAGTTTGTAACGATTCAACAAACTTCCAGATTGTCAGTATTTTTAAGTAAAACTCTTCAAAATAGAGTGTGTTTGAGTAGAAAGTAAAGCATGAAAAAAATTCAATCGAAACTAAAAAACCACAGTTTTTTTAAACAAATTCCACATTCTTCGGGGGGATGGGGGTGACGTGTTTTTCAAATGATTTATTATAAACTTTCGCTTGTTTTGTTCGTTTCTTGATAAAAAATTGTTAGAATTTTAGGACCAAATTCGAAGCTGAAAACGGATTTCAAAACTTTTTACAACGCGATGGAGGAGGCGAGTATTCTAATAAAATTTATTTTTAAATTTTTCAGCTAAAAACAGCTAAAAAAAGGTCACATTTTTCAGCAACGGAGCCGAGTTACTGCGCTGGAGCGTTGGGCTGGCGCAGTTTTCCGTAAACATTACCTACCAATCAATTTCTTTTAATGGAACACCCCATATAGTATTATGGTATCTTGAAGGCCTTTCATCAGGCTTTCAGAAAATGCTAAATTCTCAGTAGGTACTTACCTACGTTTAGTCATAAGTTTCTGAGTAAAGTAAGTAAAAAAAAGTAAATCGGTTGCAAAGTCAAACTTTTGCAGGAATAAGCGCTCTTACAGATGAATGCACTCGACCGGTAAATAATTTAGTTTGACCGAACAGATCAAACTGACCAGTTTTCAGTACAATACTTATAAAAAAGTATTATTAACCTTTAGGTACCGAATCTGAATTAAAGGAAACAGAGTTGAAGCATTCAAAAGATTATCAAATGGATTAGAAGAAATAGGAAATGTTGCATTTAATAAACGAACAATAATTAATTAATAAATAAAGACAATGAACTCCAGCTTGACAATGACTTCCAGACCAGCACACTAAACTCTATTAGAATACATTATTAATTAGTTAATTACAACAAACAACTACAATTTAATACAGCAGTAGATAATAAATAAAGACTATGAATTACAGCATATTACTATACATTACAGTATTAAAGCCGAAAGATTTTAACTAATATTTTTGTATCGGAGATGGTCACCAACCCTCATTATACACACATTTCAGCTTTATGCATAAAAGACCTTTTCACCTTTTCTACAGTTTGCACTGGAGTATTTCGAAAACTTTGTGTTATTCTTGTTTGCAAGTCTTGAACTGATGTTGGTAACTGTTTGTAAACTTTAGCTTTAACATGACCAGATAGGAAAAAGTCAATTGGTGATATGTCAGGTGATCTAGGTGGCCATTCAATTGCACCACCACGTTCAATTCAACCGTTTGTCCTCCAATCATCTAATATTTTTTTACATTCCTAAGATAGTGCATTGATATTGCATTCTTTTGCTCCCCATTTGCTCAGAAATGCGATTCAAGGTAGGATTGACAGTTTAGCATTTTCTGAAAGCTTGTTGAAAGGCCTTCAAGATACCATAATACTATATGGGGTGTTCACAAAGTTAGTAATCTTTGTGAACAACTTCGTGCATATTTATGTATTATTTGAAAGGAATTAGGACTCTATGTTCTTATATCCCCAGTTAAGAGATATACAGATTAATGCCAAATCGCATATAAAAATCGTCTAAATTCCGTGAAGTTTTCAACTGAAAACATGCGAAGATAATTAATATAAAATAGTAAGCAGATAATTAGAGATAAAATGAGTTGTAACAGAGAGAGTTGTAAGTAGTGTAACAGAGTTGGGTCCAAAAGAATACCCAATTGTCCAGTCAAAGAAGTGCTCCAATAAATCTTGAAATATGTTTAAAAACAAGATGCGGTCAAAAAGCTCACTCGATCGAATGATAGAACTTAGATTCTACCGCCTACATAGCTTCAGAATTTTGAATTATTTTCGTTATAATTAACAATGTATGTGACAGCAAACAGGAATGTTTATCTTTTCTACTTCCAAATGTTCCGAAAACATTGTAACCGCTTGCCATCCGTAAACAAGTTAAAGACCTATAGGTACGTTTAACTATTCCTTTATGGTTTTATAGTCATTGCCTTTGATGCATAGTTGGGCTTACTTTGACATGTACTTTAAACGTCCAATTACTGTCCCACTGTTGTCTGTCTTCGTCCTCGCATGGACAGCCAGCGAACAAAAGACACCCAACATGGCGGACGTCCAATAGGATTGCTGCTCGCAAGAGAACAATGGGCATACGGCATGCGTTCGCATTGTCCATTTTATCCGTGTGCTTGAAATAACAAACGCGAATCGACGGAAGGATAGGAGGACAAAACGGAATGGGGACCCACCACGAGTATACCGGGGAGATATAATTGTCATTATCTTGCCTGTGCAGTGAAAATTTTTGGTGAAATCCAGCTTGAATTAACTTAATGAATTATTGCAAAAGTTCTGTTTTGAAGTGATTTCGCCAATGAATTATTTGGACACGATTAACCAAAATGTCCGTCAATAAAACTCTAAGGCACATTCAGGGAAGAAAACAGTTAAAAACTGCCTTAGTAGATACTAAAAAAACGAAAATTTTATTCAAAATTGATTTATATTTCAACTTTTGTACAGGTTGATACTGCAGTTACTTCGGATCGGCGTCGCTTTGTTCCAATGTTCTAGAGCCTGCAAAACAAAAATATTTTGTCAGTAGTGCATGATAAAAGGTAGATCTTACAGCTGCAATACATGCATTTTGGGTCAAGAATTTGAAACGATATTTTTGGGAAAAGACGCAACCTTCAAGGCAACTAGAAAAAATGTTATTGAAACGTGGAGCTGTCAGAGATTTAGGCCAAGCTAACCGAAAATGATTTGTGATTCTTTGTAGAGGTGTGATAAACGGTTATTTTTCTGTAACGGATTACAACGTTCCAGTTTCACCTTGGTAATAGGTTTCAAAACGCGGTTCCTGAAGGAACATGTTACCTTTTAAATTTTTCATTAAAAATGCAGAATGATGATAGTAGAAATAGTGATGACATATAATGATTTCCTTTATTAAAAACAAAATTCTTCACATTGGTAAATTTAAAATAAAACATTATAAAATCAAAAACAAAACATAGGTCTGAGGTAACTACTTAAAGAATAAAAAAACTGGTAATAATAAAGCTAGAGTGATTAAATAAAACATACGGTTTATATGCGACAATGTTTGAAAATCTCATGTTCATTCAAAAATGATATTACATTTAAAAATATTTTTTTTTTGCAGATGCGTTTTACTTATTCTAGTTCTTCGCGCGTTTATAATAGCACCCGCTTTAGAAAATAATCTCCCGCATTGCGTTTCACAATAACATTAAATAATCCACAATAACAACAAACAGAAATGCGTGTTTGGCAAGCCTCGACGAAGTATTACTCGAGTTAATTTTGGTACCACCAAAAAAAATTTTTTTTAAATATGTCGACTTTACAACGTTTACGACTATTCAAATAACTTTCATTTTATCTCTGACTGAATTTATATTTAAAAATGGCCAGCTTGCTTAAATGCAGGTGCACATTCTGCTTAAAACGTTTGTTATTTTACATTTCAACTGTGATGGAATTTATGTCTTAGACTCTTAGTTTGCTCATAGCTCATATGCGAGTGCACATTCTGCTTAGTTTGCTGGTAATGGGCATATAACTCCCGACCTAAGTTTCTTGAGAGAAATCCCTTTTTTAAGATTTATTACAGAATGTCAGAAAACTAAATACTTATAGACTAAAATTGCTGAATTATATCGACGTTATTAGATGGTTCCAAAAAAACCGGTTCAATCGGCTAGCTGTAACTACGGTTTTACGTTACACGTTTAGAACACTGTTATTTTAGCGGTTACGTTAAATATCGACCATCCCTAATTCTTTGATGGTTTCGATTGGAGAAATGAGTTTCGCGATAGCAGACAAAATATGTGAAATCTAAATAATAATTGAGTAAAAAACATTATTTTGCACTGAAACTACGTTTCGTTTGAATTGTTATGTGAACCGCCAATATTGTGGATATTGGGCAACAGAAAATCCGCTTTGGATGCGATTTACAGCCAGTGTTTCCAGAAAACAAATGTGTGGTGTGGAATAGTGCGCGGAAGAGTCTTTAACAGTATATCTAGAATTTCTCCAACTTGGATTAATTCCAGCATTGGTGTCTTTATTTCGAAATCCATTAGAGCCAGACTCTCCTGACGAAGAACTGATTTTCCAGCAAGATGGTGTTCCTCCACACCAACCTGTCCAATCGGTGGATCGGAAGGAGAGGACATATT